ACTAAATATTTCCAAAAGTCTTCAATAGTTTTGCCATTATTAAAGAAATTTAACATGGATTTTAAAAATACTATTTTCTATTTGCACTTCAGTGCACGCACTATTCCGATATCCATAGGTTGAATGATGGATGTACAATTTGCAGGAAATAATTATACAGATGCATTATCTTTCAATAAAACTTTGACTGAAGTACGAGTCGAACACTTGTTTACAATCATGTCAATTTTTGTGTCATCAGGTAAACCAATTGAATTCAAATGCTGCCAAGCCTCGGGTATGAAATGATTTTCAAACCAATCATTCATTAATGCTCATGTCATCCATGCTCTTTTATTTCAATGATATATAATGGGAAACATCTTTACTCCTTTAAATGCTCGAGGTCGTATATTTTTTCCAATTATTTAAAGTTTACACTTGTGCATTCCTGCAGCACTTGTGCATGCTAAAATTGTTAGTCTCGCTTTGGAATCTTTGACACCATTTGGAGCATTTTCTGTAGAGGTTGCCAAGGTATTTCATGGTATATATTGACAAAACACACCAGTTACATCAGTGTTGTAAATAAGTCCGGAGATAACTTTTCACATTAATGAATTCAATGAATTCAAATGTGAATAGTTCAGCAGCTTCAGTATCAGCTGAAGCTTTTTAACCTGAAATTTTTAATTGCCTTATACCATGGCAATTTTTAAATTTGGTTAAGCAACCTAAACATGCGCACTCAGATTTTAAGTTCACTGTTTCATGAAATATTTTGGCTTTAGCCATTAGCATTGGACCCATCAATGGCATACCCTCGCTGCAATGCTATCTGACCCATTCAATCATCACTTTGTCATGATCATCACTTTTAGCATAACAAATAATTTTTTTGTTAGTCTTTGCGAGTGTGGTGTCCGAATCCACGAAAAACTTCTAAATGTTCTCCCCTTTTTATTTATTTATTTATTTATGTGATATACAGTTGAATTTCCACTGCCATAATCCACACATTATTTTGAGACTAATATACCTTTATCCAGTTTTTTGCAGTAATTCTTTTTTTTTTTTTTGACTCTGAATGAAACATGTTTTCGCTTTGCAGATCCGTATACTCTTTTCGATATAACTGAAAGTTTAAAATTTAATTTTCCTAAAATTACTGCAATAAATAACAGCCCACAAAAAATAATAAACTGGATCAAATCAGAAAGTAAACAAACAGCACAATTTGCTACATTAACTGAAATTCCTTGGAATCAGTAAAGTATAATTTTAGCCCAGCTTAATAGCATCCACTATACATTATTGGCCATATATCATGAGATTGGTGACGAAAGACAAGTTATTCAACTAAATTTTGTCTTGCTTCTAATGCACACTGAGACGATTACGCCTGAATTACATTTACATATATCTCTTGCACATACTTAAGGCTGAGTCCTTAATAAATAGATTCACACATATACTTAAAGCTTGTAGAAGGCAGGTGCTATATATCTTACTGCCTGGTGCAGTCTCTGTGGGTCAAATAGCATTAAATATAATCTTTTGGCCTATGAGTATCATTAACAAAATCTCTTTTTAGCACATGGAAAGAAATTTTTGTCAAATGTTTTCTTGACAGCATCAGTTAGCACATTAAATCTGTAATCATTGCTAAGCATAATGTTAACAGAAAAGGTTACCATACTCTTTGTTATTCAATTACTAACATAAAAAAATCTGATATGGATACCACATGAATTTCTTGTATGACCTATTAAATTATACACGTTGTTTGCTGCATTTCATTTAAACTTATTTCCTCAAATTTAATTAAAGATATATTTCTGATTCAATTAATTCAGTTCTCACTTTGCGGTGAGGCATAAAAACTCAAAATACCTTCATTAAAAATTTAAAAATATGGAAAAACATAAAACAACAAATGCAGTCAAAACAATATAAAAAAATAATTTTCAGAATTAAAATTAAAAGTTTCTACACAAAACAAGCAATTCGGCCAGTGGGCAAGAAGATAGATTTTTCAGTGCACAAAACTGAAAGTTTACTTCTGGTCTCACTTGGCAAAAAAACAACAAAACTGGTGAAACTGACCATTTTGCTAAGTTTCAAATGGACTGAGACTTTAATTGTGAGGTTACCAGCTGTACTATTCTCTTTCACCTTAATTTATCTTTTATTTCATTTATTTAATATTAGTAAAATAAAGCAGTAATTATGCTTTAAATGTGTTCTACTGTGTGTTTTATACTAGGATACAGTACAAAGTCTTTAATCTGGACTCGTCGGGACTTTGGGGATTCCGGATTAGGGGTTTTTCTGGATTATAGATCATCAATTCTGGTAAGATGGTGGGCAGAAATTATAAAATTAAAAATATGAAATCGTATTTTATGAAATAAAGAGCACTTATGATCTAAAGGGTATCAAAATTTACAAAAAAAAAAAAAAAAAAAAAAGCTTAATATTTATTTGCTTACTTTATTAAACATTTCTTCCATATACTTTTAAGTTGTTTAAGTTGCTTTGTTTTTTGTGGTAATACTTTCTCTTTAATTCTATAAACAGACATAATTTCTTGTTCAGTTCCACTGTTCAAGTGCTGTAATTGCTGTGTCGAGAATACCGACTAACTTGTCAATCGAAATTTTTTCTTTTTCAATAACCTCTCTGTCACTTTCTTCACTATCGGAAGCAGTACATCGAAACATGCTTTTGCTTTGTAGATCCTTTGGCAGCTCTAGAATCGGAAACTTTTTTTGACATAATCGAAAGTTCAAGCTTACTTTTTATAAAATTGCTCTAATAATCTGCAAAAAATAATAAGCTGGATCCAATTCGAAGATTAAGAAACAACGCAATCTGCAACATTAATTGAAATAGATAATTAGATAATTTTAGCCTAGCTTATACTGTCCATTATACATTAAACGTGCATGCATAAACATATTAAACATGCATGCGTAAACATATTATACATGCATGCATAAACGCATTATGTGCATGCGTAAAGGTATTATGCGCATGCGGAAATGCATTATGCGTTTACGCATGCGCAGAAAGTTTAAACTTTGAGGTCCGGATTATAGATCGTTCGGATTAAAGACTTTGTACTATACTAGGATTTTACCAAAATTATGTCTGTCTTGTAGAATTAAAGAGAAAGTATTAGCATAAAAAACAAAACAACTTAAACAACTTGAAAGAAATGTTTAATAAAGTAAACACATAAATATTAAGCTTTTTTCTAAATATTTATATCCTTTAGATCATAAATGCTTCATTATTTCATAAATCACAATTTCATATTTTTAATTTTATTATTTCTACATGCCATTTTACTAGACTTAAACTGATGATCTAATATCCGGAAAAATCCCATATCTGAAATCTCGGAAGACCCGATGAGTTCGGATCTCAGACTTTGTACTGTATGTACTTTTGGTGCGGTGAATTTCAACTAAAAAGGACGGTGCACAACTGCATGTTATAGCATTCCTATATGCAAAATTTCAAGGTTCATTTTTGAGTTACATGAGACATATGCAAGCATACATAGGCACAAACATCATAAAAAGATCTCTTCTGAATCCATTTTACAATCCAATTTGGGAAAAAGAGTACTTTATGCTGTCCTTATGCACAGATGTCACCCAAAAAACATTGTTAAATTGCATTCGATAGCAGTCAAAATGGACATTATTGTTGAAATATGATACCTGAAATTTTTCAGGTTACACTACTTCTTTTATTTCGTACAAGGATATAAAAAAATTTTTTTAGGCTTCGCTGCAGCAGTCATTACTCAAGTTGCCACGTGTTGATAAACATGCAGTAATGAAAGCAAAATATAATAAATAATGATTTTCTTGGTTGGCATCAGGGATATAAAATATTAGTAGGTGTTGTTTCCAAGTAGAATGTTTCGGCTTGAGATGTACGCCAAGTAGATATGCAGTTACGGAGCAAAATTACTGATCACACAAATTTATGCTAAAATCATTTCTTCAATAACGAGGCATTTCATTTACTGCCAAAATGAAATTAAGAGTCAGGACTCTTCACATGTTTTATTATAAACAGATTCGTATGCAATAAAGCATACCAAAAAAAGAAAAAGATTGTTGGTGACTTTGAGGTAAGGATTATAGATCATTCTGGATATTTGACGTCCAGATCTCACACTTTGTACCGTACAAACCTGGAGTTAGACTTTACAATTTTACAAGCAATTTCATTTTTATAAAGTAGCACTGACTTTATAAAGCATTTATTTAATAATGATATTGTATTCATTTGATAATAATTTCATTATCAAAATTGATGTCATTGGCTCTGATTTTAAAAATCTGTGATTTTATTAAGAGGTTATTATTTTACTTTAATGCTGAGTTATGCTGATTTTTGTAAACAACTGCTGACAGCATTTTGTAATTTTTTTCTATGCAAAAATGAGAAAGTTATTAATGTCAAGTTTTTGGCCAAGTTTTGAATGCCAAAGATTCCCCCCCCCCCTGCAAATAAAATTTGCTCTCAAAGGTCACACCCTTTTTATTTTGATTAATGGAACTGATGAAAATTTTCTATCACAAATGAGCAGTATCCAAAAACATTCTTAATGGCAGAAATGCTAGCAATCAATACATATACTCAAGAAGGAACTTCTTCAAAATCAACAAAAGTAATTAAATACACTAATGAACAAGTTCTAAACCAATAATCAATTATGCATTATAAGCTGCAAAAATTAATCGCAATATTAGCAAAATAAATCAAAAAATTAATACATATTCGACTTGGAATAAGGAATTGGGAAAATAAGTAATAAATTATTATGCAAAAGCAATAAACCATTATGAAAAAATAAGGAAAAACTTATTCCTTTTACAGAATAATTTAGATTTTATTAACTTATCAATTCAGAAATTATCTCAAGCTGAATATTATATCCGGTCTAAATTTTCAATTTACTTTATTAATATATGTATACATATATAAAGCAATAATACCTTTTGTTCAATATTAAGTTGCTTTTCCATTGACTTTAACCTTTGCCCTGATGTTGATAGGGGAACTTCAAAAGGTTCTCTTTCATAGTTGTCTGGTGAAATTACACAGCTTTCTATGATACAAAATAACAAAGTACAATTCATTTAACATTTTTTCAATAAACTAAAAATAACCTAACAATATCAAATTCACAAACATTTACATATTTTTTACTATAAAACATAAAATATACTATACAGTTTTCAATACATGTAGAATATTTCATAATTACTTTTTGAAATAATGTATACAGATGGCACAATAAAAGTTGCTTTTACTCTTAAAAGTTATACCATCACCAATTTTCGTATTTTCCTTTTTTATGAACATTATTTGGTCACAATAATTTGCTGCACTTAATTATAATTGTTTACGTCAGAAAGTATTTATAATTAACTAATTTTAGTTGAACTGAATTTTCAAACACATTTTTTATTTATTATGCATTAGAAGAAACACATTTAGTTTCTGTAATATTTTTTTTTTTTTTTTTTTTCCTTTGTCTTATACTCCATAATCAAGATGTACACTATGCAAAAAAAAAAAATGCGTCAGTTCTGTATCTCCCGTTCTACTATTCCGATTTACGAAATTCAAATTCTGTTTTCCACTCCTCGAATGCAAGACTTAAGATATGTATTAGATTTATATATACCATTGTTCTCATACTTTTCCTGAAATGACTTGCCAATTTTTTCCCACATTTCGATTCTACGACTCAAATTATGCCAAACTGCCAAGTTTAATAAAAATCGCAAGAGTAGTTTTTAACAAATTAGCTCTCAAAACTTTAGCTCCTCAATGTTCATTGAATTTGGTCAATATCTCTTTTCTTATTAAACTTATTTGATTCTTCCTTTCACATTTCGAAATTTGGGTTCAATCCAAATAAAATTCACCCATTTTTTTATGATTTATTTTTTAAATTTGTATTTTTAAATAATTTTTATAAATTTTTCAAAAAAAGTTTGAATTATAACTTATTAAATTTTTGTCATCATCTTAAGGTAGATGTTTTTCTAGCCACACCTGCAAAAAATTAAGAGTTTTTTTATTCACAATTTTCTAAAATATACATGAATTTACCTATTGGGGCATTTTGAAATTTGGCATGTTTGTTATAAGCGATAATAATGCCAAACATGGTTTCAGCACTTTGTTAAAATTATTTGAAAGTATGAACGATGACTTTTTCCCCCGCTCATCTGCAATGAAAAAAAGGAAAGGAAAATAGGTTGCTATAAATTACAAAGTTTGACCAAGTGAATTATTCTAGGTGCAAACTGAAAAAAAAAAAAAATGGACTGGAATGGAAACTGAAAAAAAGTTTATAAGGTATGTCATTTCTTTTAAATAAACAGCATTTAGGTACATGTAAAAATCTGATTTTGTATACTGATTTTTCATTATTTTTAATCTACTGTTTTTATGTCTGGCACATAAGGTGCACCCGTAAATCAACTGCTATGACTTTGAAAACTTATATACTTCACTTCCACTAGAAGAAATCTATACTAGCCTACATGATCTACCTAAAATCTTTCCTGCTATGCTAACAGTTCTAGACTATGGATTAAATGAAAAACCTTACTTAACTGCACTATTTTTAACAACAACATTAAATTCCAAAATCAACTTTTAAGCAAGTACGAGAAATCTCAAAAAAAGCTCACACGTCAACAAGTCTTTGCAACTATCTTGATTTATTAAAGAATTTACATTCCAACACACTTTAAAAAAGATTTAATTTACTATGTTCATACATACAGATAAACTCGATGATTTAATAATTTTAACAAAATTGAAAATTTCCAAATTTATCCAAAGAACCTTACTTTTAATAAAACAAATACTTCACAAAATGAAGACTATATAATTTGTCTGTTAATGTTTTCAAATTAGTCTAAGGTTTCAAAAGCATTTTCAGTATATTTATTGAAAAAATTTAATAAGTGAAACCACATAATCCAATGGTTAAGTCTTATTAACCTTTACGAATCACCTTTCATGAAAACAGTCGCATCCATTTTTATTGAAGAAATTGAACACTAATTAAGTTTCAAAATGAGGCCCGGTGGCGCAATGGCTAGCGCACTGCACAGCAGCACCACAGGTCTGGGGTTCAATCCTTGGGCTGGGCAAGGTCAACTCAGACTTTCATCCCTTAATTTACACCTTTTGGGTCGATAAAATGAGTACCAAGTTCACTTGGGGACTAAACACTGGGGGTCCTGCGACAATGTTCAGGGCATATGTTTATGTACCCCGGGGCCCACGGTCACGGTTTTGGGGCATTGTAGGCATAGGGCTGTTACGCCACCAAGGATTTCCCCCCCCTTGAAGTTTCAAAATAAAATATATGACTAAAATCACATAAAGACTAGTCATTCAGTCTAGTTTCTCTAATAACATATAAATAGTTAGACATTTTTACTGATCATGATCAAGAAGAGAAATTCTGCACTTTTTACGTATTTCCTTGTTAAAGCAGCGACTGCACGGATTGTGATGACATTTGAAACTTGCACATTCCCAATACTTTCTTAAACAAAAGCCCTTCCTACTGAAGGCTCAATATACAGAGGCGGTTCACACATTTTTTAGATGGTGTATATCGTATTCACAAAACTAAATTACATAAAATTCTTGTGTTTTAAATGTTCTATTTGACATCCCTTATTCTGAACTATCTTTCGACACCACAATTTCCAGGATAATAATGCCTTTTGAAGTGGCAGAAGAGGTATTCTATCCCATTCCTCCCGAACAGCTTTCCAGAGTCCTGTTAGGGTTTTAAGACAACGTTTGGATAATGCAGTTTTTAAAAGTCCGAAAGCACAAAAATCCATAGGTGACACATCGGAGATTTAGTAGGAATATCAGTGAAGGGTATGGCCTTCATACCAGTTTTCTGTTCCATTTCTTTTGGGAAATTTACAGTGGATTTTGATGTGTGACTGCTAGCTTTGTCCTGATGGAGTCTCACAGATTGATGGCACTGTGGGTAAAGCGATGGTATTTCATTCAGAAAAATTGGCGATAAAATATGTTCCTGATAGTATTTGGAGCTAATCTTGACATTATTTTGCACTCTCTTTATTTTTAACTTGCCATTATAAAAAAAAACCAGCAACAATCCTGAATCTCTTAGAAAAACTTTCTTTCGATTCTTTGAACCATGTACTTAAATATTTTTCCTTCCCCTTTTATGATAATAAATGGCTCTTTTTTTGTTACAATCATTTAAATACACCCCTGCTTCATCTATTGTGACAATGGTTTTCCATTTTTCTTTAGATAAGTGTTTCTCATACAGAATTCTGCAGCGTGTCCTACATTGAGCGATATGCTTTGGAAGAAGACGATGCACATTGCGCTTTTTTGCTTTCTTAAGATTTAAATCAACGTTTATCATTTTGTTTACAGTGGACACCAAGCATTTTAATGATTTTGCAACTGTCCTTTGACTAGGGGGATTTTCTTTTAACATTAAACAATGTACCTTTGCAATAGTCGAAGATGTCCGTTTCTTCCTTGGATACTTGTTTGGAATTTTTGTCCCACTTGAGGCTCCAATTTAACGTTTTTTTTTTTTTTTTTCCTTTCTTGTTGATGATATTACCTATCGACACTTTAGATATCCCAAAACCATGACTCTCACATCATTTTTGGATAACGGAGTATGCATATTTCTCTTCGGAAAGAGCGTAAATGTAGCCTTCGAACCACTGCTTTGTTAAATTCGCCCTTTTGAATATAAACAAAACTTTCAAGTCACAGACGATAATTTTGACTTTTAAAAACATAGTACAATCGCAATTACTTCTTTTTCAGCAAACGATGTTTTATTACCGCTTACCAAAATAGTCTAAAAAAATGTGCGAACAGCCTGTGTATTAGCTTTTAAAGTATTGCATGTCATTATGCCAAGGAAATTATAATGATGCCCTAACATGTCAGCATACAGATTTCCTAAGGAACCAGATTTTTTAAAGAAAGTTAAAATTCATGCAGTGAGAAAATTTTACCACTTCAAAGCATTCTAGGTTAAGTTATGCCTAGCTTGAAATTTAAATTTATTAAGGTATTTGCTTCTGTATTTAAAAGAATGGGTATATTAACCTTTTAACTGTCAAGTTATTTTGATGGTTTGGGTGCAAAAATTGTCAATTTTTTTTATTCCAAAAATGAAATGTTTGCCTTGCAATCAAAAAATCAAAAAAATGCCGCGCACTTTGAACTTTAATCTCTATCCTTGAAACCTTCAATAAAATGCTGCCATCTGTTGAATTGAAGCTGAAATAAAATTCTCATGATATATATTCGGGTATAACAATACGATGCACTCAAAAGAAATTAGCCCAAGTAATATTCGGGCGTGACATTTTGGAATACCATTGCTGTGCCCGAGATTATTTCAGGCATGACAATTGGTTAATATTGCAGAATTTCATCAGGGTTGCCACTCAAACGGGAGAATGAAATTTCCTGACTTTTCCAGGTGTGTTTTAAGAAAATTCCAGTCTATCCGCATAATGCACATTAGCTGTTCTAAGAGGTAAATTAATTATGTTACCACTTAAAAACACAAAAATTCACCAATTACTTATGATTATATACATATATTCAATATATATAATCCCCCCATTATAACCTGCGAGAACATGCACCCATTTTCGAGCATGAAAACTTGCACCGGGTATCTCATGCCCTAGTTCATTTCTGCTATTGAAATATCAATTAATACTGTTTATAAGCAAACCTTATGTAATTAAATATTATAAAATAATACATTAAAGAATTTTAGTGAATTTAATTATGCATACACACACATTTAAAGACAATTTTCACAAACTACATACTGATGTTCAATACAGATTTATTTCACATTTTTGGCACATAAATCTTGATTTTCTGTCCTTATTACATGGACAAAATGCACATTGTTTATGATATGCTTTGAGATTTTTTTATACAGGCAGTTCACTATTATCGATTTCCAGTTCCTTGGAAGTGCTTAGAAGTTTCAGGCTTACGGTTTCTGTATTGCTCTGAAAGAACGAGTTCCCGTGT